GTCACAAAACCAAAATGTCTTCTTTTTCTAGTGACAGTCAAAATTTTTCCGCCCTTCATAGCGGGCCACCATTTTTGCAGTACCTATAGCTACGGTCGACATTAAAAGTAAAGAATAGTCGGTACTAACGCAACCAGAAACACAAAACAATGTCGATGCTACCTCACAAAAAAAGAAAACGAGCGTGGGAAGTTATAAAAGAAATCTCGGAGCTAAGCAAACAAGTCTTAACAGCCAAATTATCATTTCAACGTATATCAAACTTTCATTAAAAAAGTTAATAAAATGTCCTCATCGGCAACATACTCTTAGTTTTTTTCATCCAAGCACAGCATAGTCATATTTTATTAATTTATTCACGTTAGATTTTTTTCAGTTTTAGTAGGTGCACATTAAAAATTAGAGGTTTAATTTTATTTTTATTGAATATTTTATCCAAGATTTATTAACACGTTCTCTATATGAATATTTCAAATTTAAATGCATGTCAGTTGAACGAGTTTTTAATTCGGTAGAAATTTTACGTGTTTTTGAATATTTCAATCAACTGTTTTACAGCTAAAGGTTCACTGTTAAACATTTGTATCAAGTCCACTCTTATCCCAAAAGAACAAATGATCATAAATCTTCAGTCTAATCTATTAGGTCGTATAAACTCATCCGTAACAACTTCAATTGCATGTCTATCAATATTTATGAGAATTGTCAAACAATTATATTTATATTCAATTATTTCTCAGGACTACCCCGGGACGATGGATAAAGGTAGGATTGCTTAAAATTCGAGTCGATACTAATAAATAATTTAAGTTGAATTTGCTTTACCCAAAATTCTTAAAAAAAAAATAATTGTTTTCCTATTGAAACAAAATTACTGAGAATTTAGCGAACTATCATGCTACCTTAATGGCTTAGTTTCTGTACCGAACATATATTTCTTTGATCACAAAATAAAAGTAGACGTGAATTTCTTTTGGTTTAAGATTTTTTTTCGAATTTTTAAGGCGCTTTATTTCATTTAGTATTCTTATTTATTCTGTTTTTTTTCTTCAATATTATATATTATAATCATTTATTTTAATTGTAAGCCAAATAAAATTTAGTGTCCGTGAAATTTTAGTTTCTAGTTTAAAAGTAGGATATGTTAACGTTCTTGTTGGAAGTTTATATTACTGACATACATGTACATGTATTTAATTATAAGTCTTTTGAGTAGGTATATAGGTCGTTTCTTAATTGTCAGTGCACCTAAAACTAAGGAGATGTGGTATGATTGCCAAAGAGACAACTATCCACTAGAGTTCAAACGAAGTGCATATATTAAGCAATTATAGGCTACCGTATGGCCTTTGAAAATGAGAAAAACACATACCGTATAGTCGGCTACTAAAGGTTCCGACATGAAAAATGTGAAACAATTCAAACGAGAAAACTAACGGCTTATGTATATCATGGACAAACGACAACCACTGCAATACAAACTCCTGACTTGGGACAGTTGCTTTTACTTTTTTTATTGTAACCTTTGATTTGTTTCGTGTAACATCTTCTGAAATCCAATTTCTTGCACCCCTTGTTTTTGGTCTGTATATGTAAATCCTACATAATTTTTTATCATTATCATTGGCGAAGACATAGTAAAGACTGCGCTATTTGTCAAAATATGTTTTGTTCGGGACTCTTACATGTAGCACTTCCTATATATCCGTCTGACGATATTACTGTGAACGATCGGCTTATGGGAACTCACATGTAAATAGCGGTCGCGTATCAGCATGAACAATGTAGAATGAAGAAAACATAAAAACACGAGATAATATACTGTTTATTTAAAGTGTTTCATTAACCTGTGCAGTGCACTTTCAATGAAAATCAGTGGATTCCATCGACTAGGCGTTCCTGATATTCTCTTGTATTCCATGATGAATTGAAGGTTGGTGGTTCTGTTCTCTCCAAGCACTCTGGCTTCCTCCACAAATAAAAACTGGCCGTCACGATATAGCCAATAGTGCTGAAAGTGGCGTTAAACGTCAAAATTCAATCAAACAATTCATGACACATTTCGAAATCCACTATGAAGGCTATGTAATTTCTATCTAAATACCTTACTTGAATTCCTTGTACATGCATGCTGTGTCCACTACTGTAGCTGGAGATTTAAATAGGTAGAAACCTACATAGGAAATCTTAGGAGGAGTTTTTAGAATAGTTTGTTACTATGTAGTTGTAAAATTTCATATTTTCTTTAATTATAAAAGTATGTCCTCTTCCAATTTTGCAGACGTGAATTATTTATTGTTAATAAAGTATGCTATACAATACCATAATAACTCAAACTTTAAAAAGAATTAAACTTGATTGTATTCTATAAATCTGCCAATTTTAAAATTGCTACACGGTTAGAATGAATGTAGTAGTTTATACGTACTTAAGCATATTGTGTCATAACTTTTACAACTATTATCATCTATATTGTACGGCCTTGTATATGTTTCCATATAGTGTTATCTAAAAGTTCTATTGTATCTTAACACTTCATGTCTCATTCAAAACGAAAAAATCAGTGTAAACTACTTATGGATGTTCGCTACTCTGTTTCAAAATAACAAGCCTTTGAAAAGAGTATTATTAATTGAAAGTATATGAATAAGGGAAAGGAAAAAGAAGAAAAAAATTAAGGGTCTGTGTGCTTGTTCTCAAGATATAAGCCATTGAAAATTTGGCGGGAAGTGATTCTCTCTAGAATTTTCTTACATTTAACATTTGCACATTTTTTCATTCAAAAACTATGAAAAATTAACAAGGATTTTATAAGATTTTCAAATATGGCTTTTTAAACTATATGTAATAAAAATATGAAAAGAAAAGTAGGGGTTTGCGTGCAAAATGTTTAAATGGCACTACATGCATAAAACCAGAGGATTCCGAATAGCTGGCAAAAATTCAAAAAACAAGAGGAGCGAACATCCTTAATGTACTACTACGTGTTAGGGTTTAACTAGCTTTCAAATCAAAATTTTCATGTTGTGGAACTATATAACACGAAATTTACACTAACCCTGGTTATTTATTTATATATATATATATATATATATATATTAAGTATAAATCTAACGCATATGTTTAAAGGAAGTACAACTTATTGTTTCGTGTTGATTGTTAAAAGTGCAATGAAAATGTTTCATGTATATCAAGAGCATTAACAAATTAAGAGTAAAACCAACGGGTATTGCAAAATAGATCGATTGTTTTTGAAGGGAGGGAAATGCAGTGTCCTCACTATGAATGATAAGGAATGTTAGATAGAGGCAAACATTTTGCTTTGCAATTAGCCAACGCAACGACGAGTATTTCAGATAGTCGTTACTAGGTTCTTACACATGCACATAGCATGCCACTCTCCCTATACGAGTCATTGCATTAAACGCTCGCATTTAAACTGGACGTAGATGCGTATTTATACATCCCTCATAGCAAAACTGCCCCCTCTTTCGCATGGATTTTCTACCGAATTCATGTTACCATTTATTATAACCCAATCAACTCTTAAGGCTGGTTTTCAAAGATGGTATATAAAATGAAACAAAAAATGAAAAATCGACTAAGCAAACATTTACTAGAGAACTGTTGAAACTCCATTTTTGTAAAAGCATTGTGGTCTGTATACGTTGCACATACATTCATCATGATTATTCTCATCTCCTCCCCAGAAAGTAATTCAATATAAAATAAGGATAGTTTTATGTTCTAAATGTTTAAAATGGAATTTGAAATAGACAGATTTTTATATAAAATGTAATTATATAAATGAAGGGACTATTTTTCACCCATTTGCAATTTCCCTGGCAAATTGGATGGGAAAAAGCAGGGACTCCTCTGTCAACTGGTCTAGACTGTTTAATGTGTTTATCACTTCTAGGTTTTTTACATAATCTATTTTGTTTGTGTTAAAAAAAAAAGAGACAAAGAGACGATGATGTGAACAATAGGACATCGTTAGCCAAACCAATACCTAATAGTAAGCTATAATAGGGTCCAGATGACAAAATGTAGTACAATTCATCGGACAGATTTATCCCAAAACAGTAAACGTCAAACAGATATGGCATACAGCAACCCATGACAACGTCTGATTTACAGGCTCCAGGCTCCATACTTGTAACAGACTCATAAAGAATGTGGCCGGGTTAAACATGTTGAGAGCTCTTAACCTTCAATCTTGTCAGGAACAGTTGTGTAAGAGCACAACGTTAGAACAAACTGTAGGAATCAGTTTGAAAGTTCTAAACTCATCATATCGACACGAAACTCAATCAAAACAACGTATGCTGTACTGTTACACCACTGTTCCAGGTTATAAGGAGGGTTTTGCGCCAGAAAACATGATTATTCCGCCACATTGTGTGTGTACCTGTCCAAAGTCAGGTACCTGCATTTCAGTGGTTTTCGTTTGTTGCTATATATCATATTTGTTTTTCGTTTATTGTTTTGTGGCACAAGATTGTTAACCTTCTACGGAATTTGGTGTCAGCTGAAGAGTTGTCTCATTGGCAATCATACCACATCTTCTTAATTTTATAGTAAAGGTGAAAATGGCTATAAAGAATGGAGCATTTTCGTGGTCAACTGTGTTTTGCCTTGCATAAGGTTACCTATCGACCCCTCAAACAGTTGTTGCAAGGAAGTTTCCCATCCCCCATCACGGGGCATAGGATTTAAGGAAACTGTCCAACCAGACGTGATTAATAAATTACCAAAGCCAAACAGACATTAGGACAGTCCTACAACGGACAGAATAAATTTCTTTAACCCAGTCACCACTTTAGAGTTGAAAATTAAAAACCGACTACACGCAAAAGATTAAGGCTAAATGTGTAGAACCAGGGTCCTCGATATTTTCGTTGAAAAAAAATCGAAGATTTACACTGAAAACCTCAAGATCGTTTGAAAAAATCAGCTCTGTTAAATATTAATACATAGTTTTTTATTCAACTAGAACACAAACATTCCCCCGGAGGAAGTCTTGATAGTGGGCTTGGTAGTGAATTTTCGAGTCAGGTTGAAAAAGGAAATGGCGTCCAGTTTTCTTCTCAGGTAACTATGCTTTAAAAATGTCATTAAAACTGAACCATTATAATCAAATATTTTTTTAAATTGAGACTCAAATGAAAGTTACCGGCTGAAATATGCTTCTTTAATTAATCACTGACAAAACATTTGCAATCAGAATAGAAAAGTGAACATACCAAAGATATAACCAGAATCAATTTATTAGCAAATGAATAAATTATACCGTTACTGAAAGAAAAACACAAAGTCAAACCACACATTCCTTAAAAACAACACACAAGCGACTAAACTGAGACACTTATCCCAAACCAAACACAATTCCCAGTGTACGTTAAGCCCTCTTGCTGATAGGCATTGTGCTAAGTAGATTGATGACGAGATAGCAACTGATAGTGACCACAACAAACCCAACAAAACTGATGGTTTACTTTGTCTAACCGTTTTCGTCCATTCGTTTGAGAGAAGTAAATATTACAAAGTGTATGAATTAAGACTTGGATACCCTCAGAAATTTGCTGTCTCCCAGCAATGGCTTTTACGCACTAAATAAAGTATAAAATTACAAGACATCGAAAGTTTAATGTACGATATGCATTTGAAAATTTATGATACTCGTAGGGGTACTTAAAGCCAGATATTGCTAATCGCGGGTCCGTGACTATTGTTAGCCTGGAGTTTTAGTAGACATTTGAGGAAACTGGCATACACAGGTAGCATTTAAATCTTGGGTCGTCTCAAAGTGTAAATATAAAACGTCGTTCCAAAACAGTCTAACTCCTATGATGTTTTTATATAGTTGAACAACGTTTTTTTTTAGAAATATATGTAGTACTGTGTACACATTAATTTTTGTAAATGGTGTTAACGAGGTTGAATATGCTGTAAATGTACGGAGTATGGACAGACATCATTTTATAAATTTAACATGAGACACGCAAACAAAATTTCGCAAATGTCGTTGTGGGTAAATTTTTATGTTAAGGCGTACATTTTTTAAAAAGAGAATGAGGGTATACAGCGGGAGACTGTTTCAGAACTATGTGTTCTTCATGGCATTTCACTTGCCGTTCGGTATTTTTTCATTATTTTCTCTTTTTTTAAATCTGGCGAGCACTTTCTGTCTACGTTTTTGGTATCAATAGAAAAAAATATACGAAAAAACAACACCGCTATTAATGAACATCTTTATGTCGAATATATAATCAAAAATATGCGTCAGACTCTGTTGAAGTGTGAGAATAGGTGTACTCAAATAGTTGGAATGGATTTATATCTATCTTTCAAAATAAAAAAAAAAACGTTGTTTGTTTTTGTGCAATTTTTATAGAGATCTCGGGAAGCATTTCAGTATAAACATTTTCTTTCGCGGTGTCGATAATTCTCACCAATGAGCATGGGTAGGTCTGGTATGGTCGAAGCATGACCAGTACTTCCTGATATGAGACTGGTACAATTCTCTTGAAATAGAGCGCACTTATGCCGGTGTCCATTTCAACACAAAGTTTATACGCAAAATTATTCCGTTGATTAAAAAGGATAAATGGTGCAAAGGTCGAGAAGAAATTGTCAAAAAAAAACACACAATTTTAATCGGAAAGGGGGCATTTGCCGATTCATAAGTCTAATCGTGTAAAAGAAGGACGACACACGACATCTATATTTCTAAAGGACAGAGCTGAGGCGGGTTAAATAATCAAATAGCGATAACTTGTTTATCGCATCTTCACGTGATTTTCGAGTGCACCGATTGTAGAGTGTCCTAGTAACGAATTATTGGCTGATTTTGCCTTACTTATTATATAAAAAAAAAATGATGTTCTCTGTTTCTCGGGGAAAGCGTATGATTCTCTGCTGTTTTCGGTGGGCGACAAAATATATCCGAACGGACATCCCGTATTGACAAATTATACAAGACACTTGTTCGAAAACCCTAGAATATGTAATAGAAGTGTACGAAATTAAATAGACTTATTACACACTATATAGTAAAGGTTGAACACGCCATCGGAGAATTAAAAAACACATAAAGTTATGGGGACTTTGGGCGACGTTAAAGACAGCGATTCAAATTTTTGTGACTTTATGCGCTGCATTAGTGTGTCGTCGAAAAGACATATTCACATAAGAATAAAATCATATGTTTGGCTATGTATCTTCTATTGTTTTATATTTTATATTTTGAGATGACCCTTTGTTTTTCGTCCACTGTAATCGCAAGTCTAAGTATAACCCTAGGTATAGACCTAGTTTCCGCAAATGTCTACTAGTCGTATTGTCATCTGATAAAGTCATGCTGATAAGGTGCACATTTTTCTCTGCTTTCAAAATCTTTCTGTTTGAACCCGTCCTGGGTTTCTTACTACAAATGAAAGCTACATGTGACATATACTATTGGTATAGGTATCGGATTCGACCCAGAACTTGATAATTATTGATAATACAATTGCATTAACTATGTAGAAAACAAAAGGTCCTGGAATGGTGTAATTTTTAATCAACACTATTGTCCTATATTAGTTATATAATAAATAAATAAAAACTTTATTGCAAAAAGTAAAACCCTGACGGGTTAAAATGCAAACATAACAGACATGTACACAAGAAACATACAATACATGAAAAAAGTTTTAAACAAGTCAAGTTAATATTAATATATATATGTTGTGTACAAGTTATCATTTTGTACAAATTATAATTTGTACAAAAAAATTGTACAAATAATGATTTGTATTGTGACTTTGTACAAATTGTAATTTGTACAAAAAGTGCCTGTACAAATTACAATTTGTACAAAATTCGACTTAAATTCACTTATAACTTGTACAATAATTAACAGTATGGATTTTGTTACAAAAAATCATTGATACATGAACTATGGAATTTTTGATTCAATGACCACATAATAAATCTTATTAACAACAGAGAAAAATAGTTCTGTATCATTTGTTTGATTATGCGAGTGAATTATCGCATCAGGACTTCATCTTTTGCTTTTACATTTACATTTAGAAGTGCTGCTTCCCCCTTTGCATTTACATGAAAACAACTTGTCCACAAGTTCTAGAAAGCTTTATAACTGCTTCCGTAGCGAAAGTTGAAGCTCAGAAACCGTTGCTGCAAATACGGATGTGTCTTTAACAGCTTCAATTTAATTTCTCTGAAAATATCCTGTTAAAATTTCCTACATCTATTAAAATGTGGTACTAACATTCTCAAGATTTAATAATTACACAAAAGATATTTCAAGGTTGAGTTGCGGCACAAACATTATAAGTAATTGGTATACCGACAATATCCACCATAGCAAGTTCTGATTGGTGTTTTCCAACGTCAGTGACATTAAAATTGTCACAAGGGGCCAATTTCTATTATACTATCAGAATTGTCACTGAGGCCAATTATTTATTATTCTATCAGATTTATCACGGGGGCCTATTTTTATTGTACTATCAGAATCAACTGGCATGCACATATAAAGAACATTTCCTGTCTCCATCTGGGTATTTTTGTATTTTGTAAATAAGTAGATATGAGAAGAGGTGGTATGAGTGCCAATGAGACAACTCTCCATCCAAGTCACAATTTGTAAAAGTAAACAATTATAGGTCAAAGTAGGGTCTTCAACACAGAGTCTTGGTTATTATGTGTTCCGTGTGAGCCAATGCTCTGTGTTGAAGGCCGTACTTTAAGCTATAATAGTTTACTTTTTACTAAATGTGACTTTGATGGAGAGTTGTCACATTAGCACTCATACCACAACTTATTATATCTATTGAATAAAATTCTATAGTGTGTAAAAATGGTTTTTATAACAAAATCCATACTATAAATTATTGTACAAGTTATAAGTGAATTTAAGTTGAATTTTGTACAAATTGTAATTTGTACAGGCACTTTTTGTACACATTACAATTTGTACAAAGTCAAAATACAAATTATAATTTGTACAATTTTTTTGTACAAATTATAATTTGTACAAAATGATAACTTGTACACAACATATATATCTATAAGTATATAGATAATTGACCAATGTGGACCTTATTTTCGCAACTCCATGGATTGCTTTATACAGCCCACAATACTAGACAAAATATCTTTATTGGGATCTAAAATAGTTTTAGGTTTAGTGTTTGAGTCAAGCTGCTTAAACTTAGGATGATGGGTTTTAATTGCATTTGTAAGGGGATTTCTAATATTACTGCTGATTTGGCAATGAAGGAAAAAGTGTTCCTCGTCATCTAACATTTTGCAAACTTTACATACTCTATGTTCTCTTGGAATTTTCTTATATCGACCTATTTCAATTTCCAAGTTATGGTCACTTATAATTTTGTTAAAAGTTGACGACTATTATTTTTTTTAGATTGTGCAAGTAGTCTTCCAGTTTAATTTCATTTTTAAGTTTACTATAATGTAAAGTTTTGAACTGTTATCTATATTTGAAAGTGTTTCATGAGTGATTTTATCATACTTTTCTATAACAATTTGTTTTATAGTATTCTAAGTGAATTTTTTTTTAGTTTAAAGGTTTATCAAAATCAACATATTCTTCTTCATCAATATTAAATTCTTAAAATTGTGTTTTGCAAAAGTTTTCCAAGTATATATTCCATATTCAGACATAGACTTAATATTAACTTTGAAAGCTTCTTTTCCTAACAGTTAATTCTACAAAAATATAATAAAACTTGAGTTTGTATAAAGGAGTCAAGTGGAAACCGTACTAACTCAGATTTTGCAGCTATATTACATGTGGTTTTTTATATATATATATATATATATATATATATATATATATATAAAGTTGATTTCTTTGATTCGTCGTTTTTACGTCATGCCGGCTAACAAATTGAACCTCGTTATTAGGTGTATAGATGATATTCAACTGCGTTATTGTTATTGCAATTTCCTTCTTGTATTGTTGAATTTGTTTTTTTTTTAAACAAGAATGGGATCAAAAAGGACAATGTGATGATTGAAGAACCAGTCAAAATTATGGAACGTGGCCAATGGGGTGGTAAACTTGAATTCATTTTGACCTGTGTTGGATACGCTGTAGGTCTTGGTAATGTCTGGAGATTCCCTTACCTGGCTTTTAAAAACGGTGGTGGTAAGTAATGACACATACATATTTTATCTATATCTATATAGATATCAACTGTCTGTCGATTTAGATCTTTATAAAGTAATCTGAATTTGTTCAACGCTTGATGTTAGTACACGAGCAATGCATGACATCATGATAATGTATGATGATTGATGATTATTTGTTTAACGTCCAATGGCAAATATTTCATGCATGTTCAGGACGAGATAATGTATGAATGCTTATATGTGAACATTCATTGAAAAGTAAGTCTGAATTACCAACTGCTCGATATAAGAAAGTCTTAATAACGTATCCAGACATCAATTTTCATTTATATGTAAAACAGATTTTGTAAGTAAAAAGGCTAAACCATTTAAAATAATGAAAACAAATCTATGTGTACGGTTTGTTATGTTAACAACACATTAACTAAGAAAACAAAGGACATCTTAAATTTTTAAAAGTTCTATTGTTTTATTTAAATTTGATGTTATAAAACTTCAGAAATCAATCAAAAATAAGGATTGCTTCTCCCTCATGCATAGCTCTGACTCCAGGTCTTTGTCCTGGTTATGGTTTGTTTATAGTTCTTTCACTTGTATCAGCTCTTGACCGTTTGTGTTAGGTTTTAGCTTTTCAAATATTTTAGTCAACAACATCAGGTCAAAGAGACTTTCTTTTTTGAGATGCGCATCTGGTTAGGTAAAACTAGTTCCGTTAATGTTCTTTGTTCTGTAGATGTTCGCATGTAAATCTAGGAATATTTATTGATAGCTGCAATATTGACAGTTATCTATCTTCTCTTTAACCTTTATTTTAAAAACATTTTTATGAACATTTAAAGCATCTTCTTCAGTACTTATTTTAAGAAGACAGAAACAGTTATATGTACTAAAATGTCATGTGCTCTTGTAATTACAAAGAGAGAAATATCAAAGAAATAATTTCGTCTTTACTGTTTGGTGATCTTGTTTATCATCTTAATTACGTGTTCTTTTTATTTGCCTTTGTATATCTTGAACCTTTACTGTTTAGTCCATTTTTGGTAATATCCTTTTGTCGTGGTTCGGTATTTATACATCCCGCCAATGTGTTATTGTGCTATGATCCTTTTTTGTGTTCTTGTCTTTCATTTTTGCTGAAGTGCTTTGTCTATTATAGAGTGTCTATATGCAATTTTGTTTTTCTTTGTTGAAAGAGTTATTTGTTTTATAGTGATTAAAATTATAACACAATGTTGACTGCTGTACCCCAATTTTAGACATTTTTACCTATTATGTCTGTTTGCTTTGCTCACACATTGTTGTCAGTATAATGAAATGCTATACGACTGTCATACATTTGAGAGGTATAGACAGCTATAAAACCAGGTTTAATCCATCATTTTCTACATAAGTAAATGCATGTATGAAGTCAGGAATAGTTATGACAGTTGTTTTCCATTCGTTTGAAGTGTTTTAGTTTTTAATTTTGCCATTTGATAAAGGACTTTCGTTTTGAATTTTCCATTGAGTCCGTATTTGTGTTATTTTACTTTATTTTCCAAACAATATCATTTAACTGGGACAGCTCTGACTCCTCTTGGATAGTCTTGTATGTCACATTATTTATGAAATTGGGACGTAACATCTCTCTAACACTGAATAAGAAAAGCAATTGCTTGACCAGTGGGGGTATACCCTTCAAAGAGTTATTACACGGATTTTTAAAGCCAAAGAGAGTGAAAATATTTAAACATGGGGCACTGGGTTCTGATCAGACGTGTTGTCTGCTCTTTGGTCGGGTTGTTGTCTCTTTGACATATTCCCCATTTCCATTCTCAATTTTATTTATTGCGTATTTATACCTCCGAAACAGCCAATCGAACACCTTAGTACCAGTTTTACTGTCGGACAGAAGGTGTCAAAATTACATATTTGTATACCATGGTCAAACCTTGGAATCCAAGTAGTAGTCAAATTTTCCCCACTATCCTACTATGTCAATAAATAATCGGAACGTTACGGAGTTATACAATAATTAATTAGCTATTGAGTGTTTATCAAACAACATTGAATCAAGCAATATATGTTACTCTGCCAGACTTTTTCACTCCCCAAAATCCTTTAGGAATAAAAGAGGATACTGGGTAAACATCAATGAGACAGTAACCAAACAACAAAAAAGAAACATCTAAACGGTGTTAATAGATGTCAATATCTATATCTCCTAGAGTCTAGGTGAATTAAGTAAAAAAGATTTTCAAACATCTGCCATCAATATCAAGTTTTCCAAATGACAAAAAAAAAAAGATTGAGATATGACAATGAAGAGGTCTTAGAGCAGGCACATGTACATGTCATGGGATTAAGTAAGCTATTTGAGAATTCAGCTCCCCTACGTTTAATCTGAATTAGTGGACCTAAAAAGCTTGAAAGCTCGCATGATTTTACAGATTAACGATAGCAACATTTGTTGACAGATAAACAGGATAACATCGACTGTAGAAAGATTTATGCAGGGACACAATTATTAAAATGCCTGTAATATAAAGTTGATATACAATGTTACATTGCTTAATCTGTCAATCTAATTTCTTTTGAAATTTTTATAGTTTTATATATAAAATCATACAGCCTGCGTAATTGTGAGTTTAACAAACATAAAATAAAATCATTGGACAATACCGGAAAAAATAATTTTCTTATTTAACCATTTTAATAACTTCTTAATTCGAAATAAAAATGAATGTTTTAGTCAGATATCCAATACAGATATTTGTCTGTATAGGGGAGGATTGATTAATGACTTCTTGATAGTAATACGACTTGTTTTGACCAAAACAGGTGCTTTATATTTTAACTTATAACTTGAAACTTCCTTTCAGGTGCCTTTCTCATTCCATACTGGTTTATGCAACTCTTTGTTGGAATGCCACTTTTCTTTATGGAGCTCTCATTTGGACAATTTGCTAGTTTAGGTCCATTGGCAATATGGAAAGTTAATCCACTCTTCAAAGGTACGCATTTACGTCTAGTGGCAAATATTTCATGCATGTTCAGGACGATGAACATATAGTTATATTGCATGTAAACTATGACGAATTTATGGAATTCATTAGAGTAAAACAGTTTTCACTTATTGAAATAACGCCTAATATATGCATCCGGACACAATACAATATTACAGACACTTGAAGGTCTAGGTTCCAAGACAACCAACGACATTGAAAAAAGACGAAACAAACATGTATGCTATTAATTAGATACATAGAATATAACCAAAACAAACGTTTCATTTGCATGGAAAATAAGAGAAAACTTTTGTTCATAAACGAAATACTATACAATACAATACATTAATTTTATTGTCAATTAAAGACGCCCCGAAGGCCAGTATAATTACACGCAATTTATTACAATGATTATGTCTTTCATTTTTGATACCACCTAATGCTATTGAGACGCATCAAAATAGAATTTGATTTCGTTGTTACGAATTTTGATGGGTTCTTAATTGAGTTGTATGGAGACAGCTATGAGATACAAAGATAGTCATAGACACACAAATGTGTGATTGAATTTTTCAAATTGATTTTTTTTTATTTCTTAACTACCTGTCAAAGGTTTTTTGGTTTTTCCCTTGAAACTCTTTGACGTCCAAAACTACTGCCTAGAAATTATGTGAATGTATAGAAAGAGGTTGAAAACAGTTATTTTAAAGGTTACAATTTATTATTTCAGGTTTGGGTTACTGTTCAGTAATAGTATCAGCCGTCATAGGATTGTATTATAATGTTATCATCGGCTATTGTTTCTTCTTTTTCTTTGCATCAATGTCTGATCCGTTACCATGGAGTCAGGATGTGACGTCTCATAATAATACAAACAGTACAGGTGAATTAACAGAATTTGACTATGCTGACTTTCGTTGCTTTATATTAATATTACATATGTAAAAAATTAACAAAAAAAGAGGCTGAAGATACCAAACGGATGCAAACTCATAAGTCAATGATTATCTGACAACGCCATGGCAAAAAGATGAACAACAGAAAACAATCTATAGACTCTTGCAAATTCATTACATGGAATACGAAAGTATAGAAAAAAATGGTCAATTATTCAAAATCGTAAACAAAAGACTATTTGACAAAAATAATTTGAATAATTTAAACGGAATGATATTAAATTGTCTAAATTTTGAGCTTATGAACATAATGAAATGTAAGTGCAACTTAAAAAATCTTGTGCATTGCTATTAGAATAAAAGAATCCGAAGACACTTATTATCGAAGGGATAATAAGGGGTCTTTAAATATAAACAAGTTTCTGTATAAAATACTAGCTTTTAGAAACCTGGAATCTAGAAAAAGCTATATGACCAAATGAATAGCCAAATCTACATAAAGATAAAAATAAGGAGATGTGGTATAATTGCCAGTGAGACAATTATCCATCAAAGTTCAAATAACGAAGATAAAAAAAAACGAAAAAACTTGATGGTTAAATCTGGTTTTAAAGCTAGCTCAACATCCCACTTGTATGACAGTTATAAGCAATTCTAGTTAACTTTACTTCAGTCTCTTAATAAAATGTATTATGAATAAAAAAATAGAATCTTCCTTTCCAATTGAAAGCATTCTCTCAATATATATTAATTTTGATTAGGTATTTTAACAAATCTATCAATTCAAAATTCCTTTCCACGTCATTTCATTAAAGTTTTGACTATAATATTTATTCTGTTTCAAATTTAATGTTTATTATATGTTTTCATAATTATCCGGAACAAATCGATTTCTTACATCACCATTTATACTTTGAAGAAATAAAGTTTCAAAATAAAATATTTGTTGTGATTAATCCCTGTCAAATAAAATAATGTGAAACCTAAAGCGTCTCGTGCTAATGAAATAATGTTAATTACAAATTTTCCGTTTTAGTTCTTCTTCCAAGTAACTTCACAAACAACACTGGTACAGAAAGATCCAAAAGCGAAGAATTCTTTTAGTAAGTATGGATACGTTTTGTGGAGAAAAAACGTCGATTCTGTATATTTATTGTCCACAAATTACTATTAATTTGGTCATCCAACGTGAAATCATGAAATCACACAATGTTCCCGGGAAGTGTTTTTTTTTTACCTTTCATATTTGCTGTTGTCATGCAAAATTTTAATAATTGAAATAAAACTTTATAAATTTCGTGCTCTGGACCCTTTCTGTTATTCTCTTACTCAGGAACGCTCAATCCTTAACGAATACCTTTTAAGGTTAGGAGCAACATGACCAAAATGGGTCTTAAAAGAATAGCCTGACCAATGAAGGTGTAAACATATTAATCCAAACAGCACAAGGCACTAGTCAGAGTAGACAAGCAAACTTAACAACTAAACATAAGATATTGTCAATCGTCAATTTAGGTACTGATGGGTATATCAAATAAAAAGATAGCATGACTACATGAACTTGAAAATGAGGTCAATGCCATAAAAATATGTAACACTACTAAACACTTTCCAACGAGTCTACATTACAAATTGATCTGTTCAAATCAAGATCCCGAAACTGATTTCAATTTCTAACTAGATTTTATCACTGTACGCTTCTTTCAAACACATTTAAACGTACACTAGGTGACGAAGTTATCAGATATGAAAGGCATTTGCCATGTCTACGCTCCGATACCTACATATTTGTGCCGAAGACGATGAACGAACTGACAGGCTGATTACTATATAAAAGAGGGGCGGAAGATACCAAAGGGATATTCAAACTCTAAAGTCGAAAACAAACTGGCAATGTCATGGCAAAAAACAACACAGAAAACTGCAGACTGAGCAAGATGACCCCAGTGTTATCTCGTGTGCTCCGGAAGGTTAACCAGATCCTACTCCACGTCTGGCACCCGTCGTGTTGCTCATGTAAGTATACACCCGGTGATAAGTTTAATTCGGTTGGTCACATTCGAGGAAAATATTATCTGATGAGGCTTGAATAAAAGGTGCTGAGTAATCGTGGAGAAAGACTCCGTTCAATGCTTCAACAAAGATACCTAGAAATCGATAGATTTAATATAAAATTGTAAACTTTACAATTAATATGTGTTTTTCAGTGATAGAGTGTTGAATATGTCCGATGGTCTACATGATTTTGGAACAGTTAGATGGGAACTAGCTCTGTGCTTATTATTAGCATGGGTAGTTGTCCTGGCAGTTTTGGCAAAAGGCATCAAAAGTCTTGGAAAGGTACAATTTAAAGATTTCTACCACGAATTTGGCATAGCGGTCATATCAGTACCAGAGTCTTTAATAAACGAGACGATTTTAATTTTGAAATATTTCTCCCACCTTAACCGAAATATACCAACTTCACCTGCATATGGAATATACATTTCCCAACTCATTCGGCATTCAAGAGCTTGCAGCTGCTACTCAGAATTTATTAAACGTCACCAGTGTATGAACAGAAAGTTGATGAACCAGGGTTATGTCAAAGAACTCTCGTCCTTTTTCTAACTAAAAAAATTTCATTGGAAGATACACCTTGTTGATAAATATTCCGTATCAACTTCACATATAATACATGGTGGTCTTGAAGTATAGATTTTGGGTACTGATGTTGTTTATCATCACAATTACGTGTTATTTTTCGGTTTCTTTTATTTATCTTTGTATATTTTTAAACTTTACTGTTTAGTCCATTTTTGGTAACATCCTTTTGGCGTGGCTCGGTATTTATACATCCCTCCATTGTGTTCTTGTGCTATGGTCATTGTAGTCCTGTCTTTCATTTTTGCTCATGTGCTTTGTCTATAGAGTGTCTATATGCCAGCATATTTTGTTGTTGTTGACATAGTTGTTTGTTTTATAGTAATTAAGATTTTACAAAATCTTGACTGTTGTACCCCAATTTTTGACATTTTTACCTATTATATCTGTTTGTTTTGCTCGCACATTTTTGTCAATATAATGGAATTATATGCGACTGGCATACAATTGAGAGGTTTAGCTAGCTTTAAAACTAGGTTTTATCCACTATTTTCTACACAAGGAAATGCCTGAACCAAGTCAGGAATATGACAGTTATTTTCCATTCGTTTGATAAGGGACTTTCCGTTTTGAATTTTTCTTGGAGTTCTGTATTTTTGGAACTTCACTTGTTATATGAAATTGCTCTACCACTTGTTATTCAACGTACGACTTTAAATAAAGAATACCATTTTCGATTAGACTTAAAATACAGATAACCACAAATCTGATAAGATTTGTTTCGTACCTTGACCTTCAATTGATGACCCTTACAGATAAACTGTGTCGTAGATTTAGGTAATTTCTCGCTATTACATAGTTTCAACAGATAGTTCGTGGCACATTACCGTATTTTTTTTTTCTCTATAGTACGCCAAATTACTAACGCATGTGGAGCATGCAAGAATTTTTTATATTTCTTAAACACTGGGTTTATCTACTGGTTGAAGTCGGGTTAATGTAACTCAATGTTTATTTAGATTATTTTCATATCACCCTAACCCGGCACATTATTCTGATTTGGAGCCCACCAGTCCTCGCTTTTGCTGCTATATGATAAGTCTTTGGTGGAGAGGTAGCATGTGTCAATTTTAAATTCTTTGTTCGACTCGGTCAAGAATAAAATTCACGACATCATGGAATCGAGGCGAAATTCTACCAGATACCTCGGACATGTAAAAAATGTTGTCAACGCAATAGAAGCAGTAAGAAATCGTGTGATTGGGAGAGGTTTTCATTGACATAGTACTCGGATAATCGAAAGTAAGGTGTTTTTTTCAACCAATCAAAATAGAATCAAGTTAGTGTAGAATTCAAACGTTCTATTGTTGTGTCGAAAGATTCTATTTCCCATTGACATTTCCTTTTATGTGTTTTAATTTAAAGAATGAATTTTAGTCAAGTTTAAAATTGGACCAATTTCCCACGTAAATTTAAACACGCAAAGTGAACAGTTTTTTTTTCTAATTTTTCGACTGTGACAAAATTAAACATACATAATGTTTCACGTACGACATTTATACAGCCTGTTAATATTTATTGCTTTGAATTTCAGGTTGTGTATTTCACAGCATTGTTTCCATATGTAATATTGACTGCTCTGTTCATTAGAGGAGTTACCTTAGATGGTGCTTCTGATGGAATATATTATTATCTGACACCACAATGGGACAGATTAGCAGATTCAACCGTATGTTTTAATAGCAATCTGATTAAAATACAGATCATGTGATCTAAGCTTTGCTTACAATGATCTGAAAAACTTCCGTTCTACTTTCTGTTTTAAGGTGGTACCAAACACCTTGACTAAAATTATTTTGGCTCGTATAATTTTCATAAAATTTTGACAGAATATTTACTTTTACCCTATAACAAAAATATAAAAGTTTCAAAAAAGTTGAACCACACACTTTATTGGAAAAATTTCATTGAATATATAGCAGTTTGACAAAGACTAATTTTGATCATTGAGTAGCTTAATATTTCCTTTGCAATAGAACGTGATTAAAACGTTAAGCTGATTTTTACAGAGTTATCTCCCTGTTGTGTTATGCACCACCTTAAAGAGTTTTCGGAAACCTCTGGATTTACGGTCATAAACATTTCGAGCACGATTATCATACTCGGACTCCAAAATCAACCAATCAAAATTCTAGACCTGGATTTGGTGTTTCGAGCACAAATTTACAGAAAGTAAAACGGAATATTCTCAGATATTTGTAAGCAAAGCTTGGACACAAAATCTGTATTTTAATCAAATTGTAGTTGTAGGATAACATTTTATATATTTTACTATTTTATGAGGTTTTCTGCAATTGATCAAAATACACTCGATCTTGAGATTAATTATATACGACGTTATTTTACGAACATTTTGAACCGAATACACGACTATTTGATGCAATTAAAGCATTTCATATTTTCTACACTTTATAAGAGGTTTTATGAAATACCTGCAAGAATTTACAATAACATTTGATTTATTCACAAGAGTTTTGATTACAACTACATGTATCTCCATTTTCAAGAAAGTTAACAAAAGAAAATTCGTTTATGTTTTTTTTTTTGTATTATATTTTCTTTCATATAAAGAAAGAAGGAGTATAACGGGATTGTATCCTTTGTCAGAGCTTCACTTAAAAATGATAAAATTGTCATAAAATGTTCATGCCAAACATTTTCATGAAGAAGAGTTGATTAATTCGAAGCCATTGCAATTACAGGATCTGAAGCACCTGCGTTCCAACTAGTTTTGTTTTAAGGGCTTCGTGTTGTTTTTGCATTCGTTTTCAGTGTTGTATGTTGTTGTATTTTATTTTTAAATGTCTGTGTCGTTTTAATCGATAGCCATCTTGTCTATCCTTTATCATGAAAACCGTTTTTCGCTTCGGCCAAGTTAAGGGTAAGAGAATTTACTGGTCGATGGTTTATGAATGTTGTAATGTCTAAGGGTTAAAAAGGACACACTAACCAATCTCCTGTTATACAATCACTTGATATGACTCGTCACGTTTTGATCAGATGTTAGATGGCGGTGTCACTAGTAGAGCAGGAACTGCTGACCCCGCTTTTAGTTGGGTTCGTGTTGCTGAATTTTTTGTTTTCTGTGAAGTGTTGTATGGAAAGATTGTCTTTTCGTCGTTTTTCGTTTGGCCATAGTGTTGTCTGTTTTACTTATGACTTTTGGAACCTTTTTGTATAATTTTCTGAATTGCTTCTTTTTTCAAAAGTAGAATCTTGTGTTACATCTGCACATTAGAGTGAAGCAATATAGCCTGGCGATAATGGCCAAAATCAATTTTATAAAACACTTAAACGGCCTTTCATGAAATGTCTTTTATATATGATGCAATTCCCAATTTCTTTGCGTTACCAATTGTTTTTCCGATTTTGTGGTGTTAACTGACAACGTAATGGCAAAAAAAAAAAGAAAAAAGATAAAGACCAAAAGAAAAATAATAGTATACAAAAAGAGTGAGCAACACGAACCCAACTAAAAACTCGATCTCATGTGCTACGGAAGGGTAAGCAGATCCTGCTTAATATGTGGCACCCGTCGTGTTTCTAGAATGAAACAAATTTCCGAATGTTTTGCAAAAAGGTCGATGGAGAAGATAGCGACAAGAAGACTTGAAATTATAATATGTCAGACAAAAGCAGAAAATTTGCCTTCAAACCGACTGACTATGGACCCCTCAAAAAGCTGTATGCAACGTAATAATCTCCCAGTACTGGACATTAAACTTAACGTCCGCAGTTGATCCCGACCTAGATATGGATTTATATCTCAGACAGTCAAACAGATTCTATTTGCATGAATCTTACTGTAGGGCGTGAGAAGTTAAGAAAACTATAGCCTATCACAGTCAACATTTGGGTCCAAATTGGTTTGATTAGTTTTCCTGTGCCAATTGTATCTAACTGGTTAAAAACTTTAGTAATCACTATAAAGATGGTTTTAATGATGGATACTGATTTTTATGGTCAATAAATTGATTGATTGTTGTTTTCTAACGTTGGATGAAAAATATTGCATGCAAATTCAGGACTGGAAGAAATTATTCAGAAAGGCAATAGAAAGGTTTCGTGTCACTGGATAACGAGAGTATATTAGATAGGGACAGCAACATGCACCTACGGACCTCTCAAATTGTTGTTACAATGGTCTTTAATGTATACAGTAGCATCGGATTTAACGTCACAATTCCGACTTGACAGGGATGCATATTTGCACATCCCCTTGAATCAAACGCGTGCAGTCTTTCATTGCTTTTAATATTGAATGGGAAAAAACTTGGGTGACCATATTTCTTTATCTTAATTAACTATTGGGATCAATGCAAAATGGTTTGAGCTGATTCATTTGTAGTTCTACCTACCAGGAAAAATGGTTGAAACTATGACAAGTCAACGTTATCCATGGTTTTGCAATGTATATTTGACACTATTTGCCCGGCAAGTATAGTATGTTTACTAAAGTTTACTAATTTTGAATATCTATTGTCGATAACTATATATTTATGTTCATTCCACCTATAAAAATTAAAATGAGTCATTGTATTCATAACAAACATTGATATAATTTAAGGTATGGAGTGACGCTGCCACTCAAGTATTCTTTTCACTAAGTGCCTGTTCTGGAGGTTTAATTCTCATGGCCAGTTACAACAAGTTTGACAATTTTTGTCTTCGGTATGCATTCTTATCACTTTTGTACTAAAAATAATCTAGCATGAAAAAAAACAAGTACTTAATGCAAGTCATTTTATTTTTGAATAACCTGAAATGTTTGTTAAAGTGAAATATTTTTATTATAGTTGATATTGATAAAAATGCTATCATAAAGGTTTCACATTGTTATAAAAAAATATTTGCTGAAGCTTGAATATGACCAAATTTAAAAGCAGGCTATCAATTGCCATAACAAAGCGATTGCTAAAATATCCATAAAACCTTCTTGGATGTCACCAAGGATACAATATTTAAAGCAACAGTAGTTTACCGATGTTCAAATCTTATAAATCGGTTAAAAAGATACAATTCAAGGTAACAAAACAAATTTGAACTAAGGGAATCGCATAAATTCAAAAGGAGCGAGAGAATAGGCATGCACCATACGAGGCATCATATATTCATTGAGCTTATACATTTCCATTTGTAAGCGCAAACTTAAAAAACCTTATTATAAAGTTCGGTAAACCAAAAATGACTAACAAATTGTTTGCTTCAATTAAAAGTAAAGGTCAGTTTTCAGTTTTAGAGTTTTTTTTACATATCCTATATGATAAAATAGTGATTTTGTTTCCAATATTTTTTTTCAGAGATGCTTTAATTGTGCCAATTGTAGATTGTTTAACGAGCTTTTTTGCTGGATTAGTAATATTTACCGTTCTTGGTTTCATGGCTCACCAAAAAGGCGTCACTGTGGATGAAGTTGCAAGGGGAGGTAAGTACACCCTACACTGTCATTGTACAATCACCAATTTCTGTTTCAAATTGTATGCTCATAATGCATGCAATCATGTCCTATGCTCCTATTCATATTCTACATCATAAAGTTCCTCCAAATTCTGGATTTGAGAACAATCCAAGCTTTTAAATTTAAAAAAAAATCGTTCACCTTTTTTCAGTAAGACGGAAAATATTTTGTATTTTGAGCAAGCGCATTAATATTCAGTCGGAAAAATCTATATTCTTTTTCCGAGCATATAAAAGGGTATCAAATTTACAGAGCAGTGGGAAAGCCGAAAACACTGAAGAAGTTGTATCGGGCACGCGGGAAAAGGGAGATAATCCTTTTTTTTTAGATGGCGTCACGATAGCATATACGTAGTATTTATCATACTCAGGGAAACGGCTTATATGTTGGTTTTCTAGATACTGTAAATACTGTGTAAGCCCTTATTATTGTTACATATTGATTTAAGCACATGATTGATGAATAACGACATTTCAAAATGCTTAAGACTATGCAAATCTAGACGATATAAAAAGGAGCGTGTTTATATTTTCTTCATGAAAGGAACCCTTGGTCTGAAAAAAAGTGACACAAATGCATCCTAGCCTTTTCATTGGTCAAAACCGGCATGAATCACGGGAAAACATATGAGCTGATCCATACATTTGAAACAGTCCATTCCTGTTTGTGCGTATTTTTTTTTGTTTCACACATGTATAAAAATTATACCAACATCATTAAAATAACATATTTCGAACGTATTCAATAAATTATAAAAATTAAAGAAGACCATGACACTGTATTTGCTTTGACTCGAGAATGTCAGATGTTTTTATGGCCCCGCAACAAAGTTGTCGGGGCCATATAGTTGTACCCTTGTCCGTCATTTCGTCATTCCGAAACAAAATAATTATATGCAATTTTTTTTCTTAACGCCTTCATATATTGGGCTGATTTTTGGTATGTGAGTTAACCATGATGAGTTACAGATCAAGTTTAAGTTTCGTTCCGCTCTGCTAATTTTTGCCGAAATTACGGGATTTGGACTTTGATAAATTGTTGAAAAATTTTTGCCGAAATTACGGGATTTGGACTTTGATAAATTGTTGAAAATCACAGTTATACGGACATATTTTCTAAACGCCTTCATATATTGGGCTGATTTTTGGTATGTGAGTCAACCATGATGTGTAACAGATCGAGATTAGGTTTCGTTCCGCTCTGTTGATTTTTGCCGAAATTTCGAGCTTTCAACTTTTAAAATTGTTGAAAATCACAGTTATACAGACTTTTTTCTATACGCCTTCAGATTTTGCACTGATTTTTGATATGTGAGTCTACCATGATGAGTTACAGAACAAGTTTATGTTTCGTTCCGCTATGCTGATTTTCATGTCGTTTCAACACATCTTGTTAGTTCTGCAGTACATCCACTTCCTGTTTGCTGATAGTTTGAAATTTAACTACTCATTGGTCAAGGAAATTTTTCATTAAACTAGTATTGGTCTTGAGAGCTGGATACTATCCATGCATGTTTGTGTCCACATGTGTTGTTGAAATTACAGATTTTTTCAACTTTTTGAGACGGGGTCATTCGTGTCGTTTGGACACATCTAGTTTTAACAAGTTTTTCAATGGCATCTGATTATAACTAGACTGCTTATTGCATTAATCAAAACAAACCCATAAACGTTCACACTTATTTTGACCTTCGAAACACCTACCGAATATTGTATGTTATTAACATTATCTGATCGTTTTGATGAATTAAATGAAAAAAAACCTCTATGTTATTATTTATAAACAGGTCCGGGTCTGGCATTCATTGCTTATCCAGAGGCCATTTCCAACATGCCTGCTCCAACAGTGTGGGCTGTTCTGTTCTTTTTCATGATGCTTATTATTGGATTTAGTTCCGAGGTATGTATTTTTTGGCAATAAATAGGTGTCTTCACTTGATTAATTTAATACATTAACACTGTGCAAATGCACAAAAAGACAGTTAACACAGGGGTATAATATTCCAGCACTTTTCTTATAAAATATAATTAGGAGAAACAAAAACAATACACACGAAATGTCATTTAATACTAATTTCAATTGTACCAATTTCGCTTATCTTTAAAAAATAGTTAACTAACAAACAAACAAAACAAAAAAACACAAGCAAAACCAAATAAGCTGATATAATTACGTAAACGCTCAATTGTGAATCACATTCAATTGCTATTTGTTACTGTCTAGTAAAAAATTAAAAAATATTTCACGCACATTTAGACTTCCAAATTTTAAAGTTGATTTGTTTTTGACTGTTTTTTTTTCTTTCATTTTTTATAGTTTGTGTTTTGTGCATGTTTTTTGCTTAAAAGGACGAAACAAATTCTGATATTAATGAAAATAGAGATTATGTAATTACTAAATTGAAAGTGCAAAAAGTATGTCAATCTTTCGGCACATGCATTGGATTTGATTTCCTATTTCAACCATGAAGATATATGTGTTTTTACATCCTATACATCGAAAAGGACACATCTTTAACCAGGGACTGCTGCCAAGGAATAGTCTACTTCTTTACAAAAAAGGGAAAAGATACCAAGAGTGAAACTTAAAACCAATAAGAAAAAAAAAGGCAGACAAATCATGTCAAATGGAAAAAAGAAAGGCAGGCAGATACTTATACGCAAAACACCACACAGAAAAAAAAACTAAAATGAGCAATACAAACCCATCCAAAACCGAGGTGAACTCATGGACTCATTAAGGGCCAGCAGTTTCTGCTCCACTAGTGACACCCGTATGGTTGGTTTTGTAAAAGTCAAGTAAGGCTTCATACCATCGCAGATCGGTATTTGTTTCTAGTCTAACCCAAAAACTCACAATATTCTGAAAATCTCATTATCAGTACATGTGAATTTGTTTCGTCCACAAGCATAACCGATTGTGAAAGCTTGAAAAGAGGGGAGACAGCTTGAAAAAGAGAGGCGAAAGATACCAATGGGATATTCAAACTCATAAGTCGAAAACAAAGTGACAATGTAATAGGGTGATACAAGGTGCTCCTGAAGGGTAAGCAGATCCTGTTCTTCATGTGACACCCTTAAAAATATTTTCAGATGTAGGGATAGAAAACACATCTACTTAAAAAGATATCACAATTAACAGTACATATTGATGATACAATTGTCTAATGTTGAAGACACTATGTTGACTTCTATAGGAAATAAGGTGATGTGGTATGATTGCCAATGAGACAGCTATCCACCAAAGTTCAAATGAAGTGTATGTAAGCAATTATAGGCAACCGTACGGCATTCAACAAGGAGAAAAAAATCATACCGTATAGTTGGCTATAAGAGGTCCCGATATGAATAATATGAAACAAATCAATAGATGTCTTTTAATTGTTAATGCTGTTGGGTTGCTGCATCGTTGATTAATATCAAAATCTCCTTTTATTCATAGCACAGAAATATATGCAACACAAACCCCACTGGAAAACTTGGTGATCAAAAGTAAAGTAGCCATATCTAATTTTGTATATACCATTACTTATTTTGGAGTTTTCTTTTCTATACGCATTATTTTTGTTACAGTTCTCAATAATGGAAACTGTCATGGCATCCTTTATAGATGAATATGCATTTACTTTGAGAAAAAACTGGAGAAATTCGGCAATTTTCCGCGTAACAGTGTGTATGTCTTTCTACTTGCTCGCGTTGCCTATGACAACAAGGGTATGTATAATGAACTAGTACTTGATGATTGTTGACTAGTACTAATAAAGCTTGTCAGTAGCAATTACATATCCGAAATTTCACAAACAAACAATAAAATGTTATCCAAGATAACTATTTCAGCATGACATCGAGCAAAAAGTTAAGTCTACATACAAATAAGTATTCATCAGTGATTCTCGTTTCTCGTTTTTTATATAGATTAGACCGTTGGTTTTCCCGTTTGAATGGTTTTACACTAGTTATAGCTTGCTGTTCGGTGTGAGCCAAGGCTCCGCGTGTTGAAGACCGTACTTTGACCTATAATGGTTTACTTTTATAAATTTTGACTTGGATGGAGAGTTGTCTCATTGGCACTCATACCACATCTTCTTATATCTATGCACACAAACTGTGAATAAATTGTTATTCTTACTGTAATGTCTTATATCATACGTTTATCAACATCATTGGGTCGGCACTGCTAATGGTGGGCTAGCAGTCCCCAATGACATCATCCACCTGTAGATAATGTTTCAGTTTTGGCATAATTTAAATAATATATTTTTATCTGCGACTAATTATGCAATTGTATTAAAGCACTCTATACAATATTACTCGTAGAACAATAAGGAAATTTTTCGCAAAAACTGAGAGTTAAAAGGTAATCCGAATTTATTGGCGAATCCTGCCTACCAGTATCTACTATTTATTTTGCTAAATGAAGCATTCATTGATGTTTATTTATGAAGTGCAAAGGTTTTTATCGAATGTTCACCATTACTATATACTACAGGGAGGATTTTACTTATTTGAATTGGTGGACAACTCCATTAGTGGTTTCCCATTGCTTTTTGTTGGACTGTTCGAATGCATTACTATTAACTGGATTTATGGTATGAATATTGAAAATATCTAGAAGGAGTTTTGGAACTTTGATAAAGAATGGTGTCTTCTTTTGAAAACAAATTCACACAATAAATAGACAGGAATCTGTTATGATAAAAACAAAATGCATACAAACTACTATTAACTAAGGTAATGCTCATCTTTGACGATCTTTTTTTGCTATTTTTGTCACTAGCTTTTGAATTATCGGCTATTATATCTATCATAAATCTTTTGTCGTTTTTTGTTGTTATCTGCGTGGTTTTTTTCTTTTTAAGTTCCCAAACATCTTTTCGTGTGTTAACGGCAAATTATTTGATAAGGTTTACAAACAATGTCAAAGTTCATGTTTGCTTTCATTTTTTCATGAAGTAATAACGCCACATATTTGTATACAATGTATTACATGTCTCTCTATATTTCTTCCGGGTATCTTTATTGCCAAAGTTCGACTATGAATAACAATTCTTTGCGTCCTAAATCTGATCAAACATTTGTGTTTACCCTTTGCTTAGTTTCCAACAATTTCAACATATTTTGAACTGACACCATGTAACAGGGACGACGCAAAAACATAAGTCCCATGAAAGTAATGGACGATCGAATTAAGCTTAGTCCTGCACAGCACTTTCCACATCAGATTTGACGTCTTAATATTTAGAGTATTGTCTTTATCATTGCAATAAAACATCACAGAGATGTATATTTGTTATAACACCTTGGTATAAGAACGTTTACACATTCACAATGCAAATTAATTGTAATCTTCTGCTATCCTAGGCTACAACCAATTTGCAGACGATATTGAAATGATGTTGGGTAAACGGCCATGTTTCTATTGGAGATTTTGTTGGTCCTTTTTCACGCCATTCGTCCTGTTTGTAAGTATAACCTTGTTACTATATGGTGTTTTGGTTTTCATCAGATTGTAAGTAAAAATCAAATTACGTCTTTCATTCAGGAATCCATCTTATAAATGACCGCTAAAAGACCAGGATATGAGAACAAAAATTAAGAGAGAAAAATTGCGTTGCAACAAATTGCATTGCAACAAATTCGATTATTTGTTTTGAATCGAGGGATCCTCTGCCTCATGTTACAGCCGATTTCAATGAGTGTGTAGGAAAAGGTAATAACTTTTGGTTAGCTTTCTTGCTAGCTGAACCGTGAAGTTATTATAAGGTTAGGTAAACTACCCTCCTTTTTGATTAGACTAGTCCGACAGACAGATATAATTGGTTACCTGTGGGACTAGTCTACTGATAAAGGAGGGTAGTTTACCTAACCTAATAATGACTTCACGGTTCAGCTAGCAAGCAAGCTAACCAAAGATATTACCTTTTCCTACACACTCATTGAAATCGGCTGTAAATGACTCTGATTAATTGAGTTAGTATTCAGTATAGTTAAAAGTTTGTGTCATGGCTTCCAGAATAGTTTGTCCAGTTTTGTCAAAATATGCACCTTGATAGTCAAAACTGGTACAGTTTAATGTTATTAATACCAAATAATTGCGGTTACTATTAAAGAGAAATGACGTTTTTTTAATTCATTGCAACTATGACAGTATTTTTTGTGGCACGCGAAATTCGTACATGGTCGTATAGATAAGCTTACATTTTTATAGGTTATAATTGTGTTTAAAGCCTACCAGTATGAACCATTGACATTGGAAGATTATGAATATCCGGACTATGGACTAGCTTTGTGGTGGCTTATTTGTTTGTTTCCAATATTAGCCATTCCTACTGTGTTTTTGTACAAATACATTCCAAGGCGTCATTTAGGGGTAAGTTGATTATACTGTATGAAATTAAGATTAAGAGTCTTGATATATTCTTAGGTTTAGTTCGTCAGTTGCCGGTCATTTCCTAGGGGTCTGAAAATTCAATTTTTACCAAACGCATGCCTTCATCATGGCGTTAAAGTGACGTAATGATAACATAATAAAAATTAAAATGGCCAATTTTTTAATTGATTATCAAAGGAAAAAAATATGATGACAGGTTTATACTAAAAATATAATTCTCTCTCAAATACAAAAATGAAAAGTCATGAACTGGAGTAAAACAGGAAGAAACGATAATTTATCCTTACTTAACATTTTGTTTTGCTATTAAGGACGAATTTTTATCGCTCCTTTCCATTTTAATCAAATGTTTAAACAATTCTTCATTTAAAAAACATATTATTCTGATTATGTCAAACCTGCCCCTAAATTAAAGCGAAATGTATTTAATGTGCGGAATTTGCTGCATTCGATATATATTTTTACTTTCCTCAAGGATTCACAGATGTATAAATACAAAGGGAGCTATAAAATTAAGGGCTTAATCTTCTGACATCAAATATTTAAAAACCATACATCTAACAAATATTTAGGGTTTTTTTTCAAATTATTTTTTTATGTGTGTTTTTTTTTTTAAATTTTTTTTTTAGGTTAGAACGCTTATGAAGCCTACATTAGAGTGGGGACCGGCCTTTGAAGAAAACAGACGTGGTACAAAATATGAAAGAATTAAAAATCCAATTTATGGCCAAACCAATCTGTCCTTTATCCATAATGAACATTCTGGTACAAACTATCTAAATGCAAAACTGTCAAATGAACCTCCACCATCTTACCAGGAATCTACACGAATGTAACAAAAATATAAATTACATAACAAACATTAAGAACTAAAGTACATTTGTTTTATGATACCAAAACATGATATACAAGGGATATTAGTTTATTGGTAATACATGTACCATAATACATATGATGCTAATGTCATGTTTTGATCATAAATATGAAATAAAATGTTCGCACAACTCCCGAGAAGAAACAAATTATTTTATTGTGTCAATACTTGTATATTGGTATTGCAATTAAAAAGGTCCTTTCCTGTAATATAACATAAACGGTATCAATTTTACTGCACCACTTGCAAATTTTGTTTTCGTATTCCAAACTCTCAATGCAGGTTCTCAAGAATGTTTTTATTAATATTACAACAGTTTGTAAAAATTTTAAAAGCAAAATTCCGTTGATAGATAGCGTGTATTTATGTCAGATTTTATGCATTTCCCTTTTTGAAAATACCTTGGAGTTCGGTATTTTTGTAAAACTTTTTTACCTGTAGAATCTGCCGATTACTGGTCGCAAAATCCCATTTTCAAAATAATTTTTTTTTTTATATTTGAAACTCAGGTTATTTCACAAAGTATGATGATATCTTCTTTTTCAAACGGGATAATTATAGCTTTTCTGTGTGGTTAACTGCCGAAACTACACCAACAAAGAACACTGTGCAAATGGACGTCATTGTTATACTGAAGGCTGAGATTTTGTTCGAACATATAAGAGAGCAACATGATTCAAGCCCTTTATAACGTTTTTATAGTTTGTTCTTATGTAGTGCTGTAGACCACTGTCCCAGGTAAAGGTTTATTGCCAACACACTTGTATGTACAACACCACCACATTCTTTATGTGCCAGTTTTTAGTCAGAAGCCTGTAATGCAGTGGTAGTCGTCTGTTCGCTGTTGTTCATAGTTGTTTTTCATGTATTATTTTTAGCATTAATCATGCAGTTGGTCTTAATTTTTGAATAGTATCCTATTTAATTAAATCCAGAGCCCTTTATAACTTACTATACGGTGGTGACCTTTAAATGTTTGGGCTGTTGAGTGTAGTTATTTCATTTGCAATAATAAAGCATCTCGTTATCAAAATACATGTAATACAAGTTTTATGTTGAAATTTGTTACAAATTGACAGAAACAGAACTGGCATTTTAAACAGTTTGATGTGTTTCAGCTTTTGATTTTACCATTTGATAAGGGATTTTCCGTTTTGTATTTTGCTTGGTTTTCGGTATTTTCGTTATTTTACTTGTTTTAATGTTGTAAAATTGCGTATAAAATAACAAATTTAACATTGGCATCACCTCCTCCAACTATTATTTCACCATATTAAGTCTCCACAAGAGGTCAACATACAAATATCAAGACTCTCGGAATTCAATGTGAAATTTAATGTTTGTAATACATATAAAAAGAAAGGCATTAACTATAAGCCTGATATATTTGATAAGTTGTTTTACATGGCCATGGACTTGATTGCTCCATCATTTACCAATTTATTTTTTTTACTTTCATGTTCTTTTTAATCATAACAAGTAAAACTCTGATCAGTAACGTATAATAATTTACATGATTTTTCATAATAATGATGATTATGTTCGGAAAGTTACTTTCTAGAGTTGTTACAACACTTACAATTTATAGTGAAATGCACATATCTGTGGTACAAAAAAAGTCTTCTATACTATACAGTCACTCACTAAGTTGTAGAACCAAGGAAAACATCAAGTGTTGCTACATTACATAATTCTAATTTCATGTAGTTACAATATATATCACAGTTTTGTCAACAATTGTTGTGAAAATAATGTCAGCAATTTATTAGCCATCATGACTTAACCGAATCTGTCTCAGTAGCAGGTATTGTTCAATAGTCTACTCTTTTCAAGAAATGATTGTTCAATAGTCTACTCTTGTCAAGAAGTGATTGTTCAATAGTCTACTCTTGTCAAGAAGTTTTTACCTTAAAAATGTTTATCCCAATTGCTGACACCAAAAACAGTTTCAAGTCCATCATAATGGAATCGCATTAACTCCAAAAGGAGCGAGATTTCGTCCTCATCGATTTACGAGATTTAACATTGGTAAACTACTGTCGCCTTAATTTACACTGCCATCAAAATGAATACATTAACACTTTTAAAACACAATTTCTGAAGGATATGTTGATATTTGTTTTGGGGAAACGTAGAAGCCTTACTTTACACTCGTATGCTGGTTGTTTGAACTCTTCATCAATCTGTGGTCCAAGCCTTTAATGATAAATTTATTATAGATACCAGGATATGAATTAAAAAAAAAAGTTTTATAAATCTGTGCACCAAAAATTATTACTCTAGTGGACATTATTACTTACTAATAAACGAAGAGATGGCTGAACAGAAAATGCTTAAAAAAATGAATAATTGTTTATTGTGAATTTTAGTGAAACTTATCGAAAGACCAAACCGGCTCTCTCTTAGGAATTCGGTATTTTTGTTATTTTACTTTTTACCTTATTGATTATTACTCACCATCCTAAAACATTAATTTATGTTGGGTTAATGTTTAATTTGTTTGCATTTACAATTTGGTCAAACATGTAATTAAACGTTGTTGAAACAAATGGAAATAAAGTGTAAGGTGTGATGGTTTCTCTGGACACTATCATCAAATTACAAACATCAACAAACATGTATATCAAAATCAAAAGTATCGATGATTCTGCACCTCAATCTTGGCAAGATAAATAGAAAGGACTTCTTAAAAGGGAAAGTTCACATTTTTAAACAGTTTTGTATAAGGGTAGATCAAGAATCAATTACGTACTCCCTAGCTTTATATTCCTGGCTATAACGGAATGGACATTTGACTTTTTGTACATTTAGTGGTATATTTAAATGAACATGATATTATTTTATGTTGAACTGTCTTGACTACATGTGTTATCCTACTATAAATGCTATCGCTAAAATGGACATTGATAATTTCACGTTTCGTTAAAATGGGTTAAATATTTGGCACTAAAATTGGTTATTATTTAGAGCTAAAACTTCAGCTTTTTGTTTTTTGGGGGAGGGGCTAAAATCTCTTATCAATGCTCTAAAATGTCCACCACAGCTACGGTTAACAATGTTCTGTCATTCAAATGTCGTGGATTCATTTTTTTGAATAATGCATCTGTAGACAAACTATAAGATGTTCGTTTAACCGCCAATACAACCTATGGATTTGTTAAATTTAGTAAAATCTCCTTAAATGACAATACAGATGCTCGATAAACCGGTTCAGGTCGAAGTTCCAGGTAACAAATAGAGGCAAATGATCTTCTTAGCTTAGACCAAATACAGTCCAATGGGCGGGAATAAAAAATAATACATTGACCATCATGGCATCAGATGTGGTCGAATTCAATTCAAAGAAGGTCAAAATGTACTGAATGGTACAAAGCAACGGTACACAGACTTATTGTTTCAAATTTTCATATGATAGCCTTTTGCTGTGAAAAAAAATATCCATCATAAAATTGCAACCATTTAACTATATAGCAAATCTAATCAACCCAGTTGCAATTCAGTTTGAATTCGACAAAGGTCAGGGGTGCTGATCGTTTCCTTCATGTGATGAAAATGCACAGTATTTTGAATATTGAACTCGAAAAAAAAGAGATTTGTCATTGATTCTGAAAAAAACAACATATATTGGTGCGTCTAGATATTTTATATTAAAAATACAGCAAACAACTTTCATCTTGTGAGTTGGAGGAAAACAATGTATTGACACTGAACAGGGGGAATCTGTACTACACTCAAGTCGACAGGGGAAAATGGCAGTACTAAGGATTCCTATATGATAATTGGTTTAGCGCACAAAGAATGGTATTCATATTGCATTTGTTATATTTTGTGAATTTTTCTGATTGTCTGTTGCCCAAAAAACTTGCAAATTTTACATCGATATAGTTTTACCTGACATTGCATTTTTTTCTGTAAATATGACTTGCCAGTTTTAGTGTTAGAGACTTTTAAAGTTTAATAGCATTTTAACTTGAAGTTACATATTAAGACTTTTTGAATATGTTGATGATTTTATTTCGATATGGGATAATTCCATCAACTTTTTAGTTCTTTGTCAAGTAAACTGATGTGCTAAATTTCCAGTAAGCCACCAGAGTAAACTATAAATAGATTTTGTACATGTATTTCCTTTAATAATAAATGATCAAACAACAATTTACAATTCACATGACTGATTCATGACTTAGAAAAGAAATTTGTGTATGAATAATTTTTCATTATTTTTTTTTCTTTTGTTTAAGGATGGAATTTGAAATGTTTTTGATACTTTTTTTTCTATCTAATTCGATTGATTGAAAAGACTGAATAAACAGGAGAACAAACTGATTTGCCCACAGTCGATGAATTCTAGGGAAATATATATACATAGTTTGGTTGATTAGGTTACACTTTTGCAGTTTATCGTGAAACTTCGTTATTGAGAATAACAAAAACAGAAATTAATAGACCTTATGTTTCTAAACTGAAACAAGATGTATAAAACATAAGAAAATGTACTTTTTCATCTTGAAGGGTGTATGGTTTCCTATAATTGCTTACATCCACTTCATTTGAACTATAGTGGATAGTTGTCGCATTGGCAATCATACCACATGTAAAATCCTTATTTTTATTTGATAATTAATAATGATGATTTATTTTGATGATAAACATTAGAAATCAAAAAAAATATGCAACTTTTCCTTCCTTTTACTAAATCACAATAGGAGAGCATAATCATTTCAGTCGGGTTTTAATCAAAATAGATTTTAGGTTCGATTGAACGGATTGAAGCAACTTGTGATGAAAATGCACAGTATTTTGAATATTGAACCCTAAAATAAAAGAGATTTGTCATTGATTCTGAAAAGAAACATATATTGGTGCGTCTAGATATGTAGATAGAATAACAAGTATAAATGGACCAATAATACATAGTTGATCTAAAGAACACACCATCAATATAGGAATTTTATATGAAAAATACAGCAAACAACTTTCATCTTGTGAATTTGAGGAAAACAATGTAGTGACACTGAACAGGGGGAATATACACTACACTCAAGTCGACAGGGGAAAATGGCAGTACTAAGGATTCCTAGATGATAATTTGTTTTGAGCACAAAGAATGATATTTATATTGCATTTGTTATATTTGGTGAATTTTTCTGAATGTCTGTCGCCCAAAACAACTTGACAATTTTACATAAAATATAGTTTAACCTGACATTGCATATTTTTCTGTAAATATGACTTGCCAGTTTTAGTTTTAGAGACTTTTAAAATTTAATAGCTTAAAACTTGAAGTAACATATTAAGACTTTTTTAATTTGTTGATGATTTTATTTCAATATGGGATAAATCTATCAACTTTTTAGTTCTTTGTCAAGTAAACTGATGTGCTAAATTTCCATCAAGTCACCAGAGTAAACTATAAATAGATTTTGTACATGTATTGCCTTTTATAATAAATGATCAAACATAAATTTACAATTATCATGACTGAGAAAAGAAATTTGTGTGTGAATAAATTTTCTTTAATTTTTTTTTCTTTTAGCATTTTTAAGGATGAAATTTGACATGTTGTTTTTGATAATTTTTTCTATCTAATTCGATTGATTGATAAGCCTCAATAAACAGGAGTGAAAACTGTTTTGCCGCCAGTTGATTGGAGCTGATTATCGACATCTACAAAGTCCTTGACAATATAAACCTTTGATATAGATTTCATATTAATCAGACAAGAAATTAAGGTGTGAGAGTCATAGTTATGCAATGCTCAATATAAAAATTCAAGTTTTAAGTGACAAAAACTTCTGTAGAAATAATTGCTCGGCGCTAATTTCGAACTAGTCTTTGACATTTTTTATATAAATTTTTGACATAAATTTCATAATAATCCTATAAGAAATGTATGTTTTAGAGCGCTTAAAGCCTTTTAATGCCTTTTTTCCTATATTTCAATAGGGCATTCAGACTCCTATACAAAAAGTTGAGTAGCACTAATTTTCGAACTCATCCAGTGTATCTATGCCCCTCGTACCGCGTTCCTATGGGAACAGTAAAGCAACAAATGCGCAATTTCTTTGATATATAATTGTTCCCAGATTTCTTTATTTTTTATAATTTATTTATAATTTCATTATCTCCATCTCATATAATTTTTTACTATTAAAATAGCTGGGGTGTTTATATGTTCGACGGAAAATTTTATTTAAACTTCCGTAAAAGTCTTCTGGGTCAATGTACTTTCAAATTTCAATATCGAAACTGGGGGTCACATACCTTGTTTTTTTTTGGGGGGTTAAAATCACAGTTGATTGTTGTTTCATATCGGTTATATAGGGGAAACTTATTTTTTCCATATTGGGGAAACATTAAACGATAGAAATACGCTTAACGTTTTTTTTTTTTAGTTTATTCTTACAATTTCAAGTTTTAGATGTTTCTGTTGCATATACTTGGTAAACTATTTTTAAACCAAAAAGTATTTTTGCAACATGCCCAGAAGGTATGCTCAGATAAAAGACAGTCGATCTACCTTAACATACATATATTGAACCAATTATCATCAATTTAACTTGATCGCGTAGACAAATAATGCCCCAACATGATAATTTCGGCAGCACAACTGAAAGCACAGATGTAACATTCAACTCAAAAATAAAAACGACAGAATAGTACGATTCAACGAGGACTAATTGCAACAGATTGTAAGAATGCTTATTGTGCGGATTCCATTTGACCCAATAACTGTACAGCCATTCCATAAAGAATGTAGGCTCCATCTGTAAAATTCCAATCTTTTATGAAATAATTTTCCTTTATAACCAATTGCAGACATTGGAGAGAATCTTGACATTGTTTGACATTATTGAGATGATAATGACGAAGAAAATTGAGGAAATAAGCATATGCTGTAGATGGAAACTCTGGTATGTTATTAGATTTGTTCATTTGTAGTTCATCTGGTGATAACGTAGAAGTGGTCTCAATTTGTATATAATCGACAAGCATTATTTTCTGCAAATAAGCAAAACTCTTCTTCTGGAATAATGGCATTTTTAGCAACCGGTAATGGATATCCGACAAAGTCCTGTACCGATGCAGTTTTTCGGGAGTACATTTCGATAAAGAATAGATAATGATGCGTAAAGCGTTTGTGTATTGTTTTGTCTTATAGAAAAGCGAAGCTACCATCAGCCATCCAGAT